AAGAACTAAGTGGGGGAAGGGCAGCGGGGAAGGTGTTTGAGAAATCACAAGATGTCAAGCTGGAAAAGGAGCCTGTGCCCAAGAGAACAAGCTCCCTTTCTGAGCTGGAACAAAATGCAGGAGTCCAGGTTCCCAGTATCCCACTATTGTCAGCAGTTAACCACAAATCACACTGACCAGCTAGGAAGAAGATGACAACCAACTGCTGCCCCATACTTCACTGGTCGAGTCAAAGATGCCTGTGCAGACTACTACTGCATTACCCCTGCGTGCATTGGCTTGATATTTGCTTTCTGTGACAGCTCTCTAAAAAAACTTAGCAAACTTTCATAGGCCCACTCACAAATAACACCATGAAGCACATTCTTCAGGCTGCAACAGAAGCAAGTAGTTCAAAATTGAGAAAAATCTGAAATAAAAAACAATTGGCTGATGGAAAACCTTATGGCGTATGAACACGTCACACCTTTGATTCCTCATGCATGATCTCCCAACATCTTCAACACACAGCATAGACAGTGGTGAAGTAGCAAGCATCTGGACACAACAATTTTGTTTTCTTTGCAGTTCAGTGCCTGATTGTACTTACTAGAAACACCAGACCTATTGCAGAAAATAAAACCTTCCCTTTTTCAATAGCTAGACAGAGGAGCTTCAAGCTTATAAACTACATGTTGACCATGTTGACCAAAGGCTGACAGCAACATGCTTGTCTCTGGGATTCCTTTAAGTATTGCAGCACCTGTCAGCTTCTCAGCAGCTGGGCTTCAGCGCCAAACTCGGCGCAGCGCCTTACCCAAGGAGATGGGTGATAAAGAAGCCACTCGGATTTCACAGATCGGCCTATAGTTAATAACTGAACCATAAAGATTAAGCCTTGCATGTCCTTCAGTTCTTTGTGAGTTTTTTGAAATGTAAGCAGGAAGCACAGTACAGCTACCATATTCTGCAGTGATCTGCACCAGCAGAATCGAACACCAATCTCATACACACACAAAAAGTAAAAAAGCAGCTACTGCAGCTGTATGGAGTTATGTGCGGTAGCGACTGTTGTCTTCAGGGGTTCAGGAAAGAGCTTACAATGATCTATGATGTCTCATTTTCAAACAAAACTAAAAATCACAGTAAAAGCAGGAATG